ATTTTAAAAATTGAACATAATTGGGTTTTCGGCTATAAGATTAGATTTTCTAAATACTGGATATTATATCCTCACTCTTTGAGAACTTGGTTATTTACTTTTGAAAGCAGACACTTATTTTAAGATACATATAAATAGAAATATGAACACTTGTTTTAAAAAAAAAGGGAATATTGAAAATGTAATTATGTAACTTCTTTAATTTAGGTGACAAAATCATAAATTAATTTTCTCTCTCTCAATAAATTAATTCTCTTTTTAGAAATAAAAAACTTTAATTAAAATATATTTTCCTTATTCATAAATCAATTTATTTCTTATGGTTTTCTTTTATGTTTTATGATATTTTTATTTTGTTAATAGATAAAAAAAATTCATTCTATTTTCAACCTACATATGCTTTGGTATTTTTTTGTTATATCGTTGGTATTTGACAGTATCTTTTTTTTTGTTAATGATTTTGGGTGTCACATTGTGATCAAAATTCATTTTGTGTTGATTAAGTGGTAGGTTTAGTTTTAATTTTATTAGGTTACTTGGTGTTCACAACGTGTTTGCAAACTATACTAGATACCGCAGATCATCAATATATTCACAAAGTTAACTTGGTGTTCACAAGATGCAGGTTATTTGGTGTTCACAGAGTTTTGTTGGATTGTTTGGTGTTCACAATGTGTCCATAATGTGTTCAAAGTGGTGCTCACTTGTGTGCACAAATAACTAAACTTTTAGTATACTTAGAGGCAAGGCCAGCCCTGAGATTTTGAATGCCCATGGCGGAAAGCCAAAAAAATGCCCCTTATATGTGTGTATAAAAACCAAAAATAAACTATTTGAAGGGGTTTGGAACCTAGTCAATCTAGGCGGCTTATCCCCACGCCGATTTCTTTTCCTATTTTGAGCACCCGATGGTTGTGATCGAGGAAACATATCTTAAGTAGTTAAATTATTAAACAAATGATATGATATAAAGAATATAAAGATAACACCTGGATTTGACCGTTCGTGGTTCGTGTTGTGAAATTGCCAAGAAAGTGGAACGATTAAGCAACCTGGACAAATTGATAAAGGAGAAAACATAAGCATCAATCTTAAGCCTTTGTCCTATATTAACCCGCTTTCAAAACAACTCATAAAAAGCTTCTAAACAACCCTCAAAATAAGCCCCGAACAGCTGGAAAAAGACCAACTATATAATTGAACGTCCTTCCTTCTAAACAGCCTTCTAAGGACCAACTAAACAGCCTTCTAATATCTAAACAACCTTCTAAATATCCCTAAAAAGTAAAAAATTAAGAGCTTTTTAGGTGTTATAACGTTGTATTATGTCACTCCTGGAGTTAAAATAGTGGGTCTTCTTAACTGAATGGCTTTCTCTGAAGCTTATTTGCTGCAATATTTGTGGCAATGGAGTCCCAAATCTAATGAATTTACTGTAGGGGCCATCATGGTGAACATGAGCCCCTCCTTTAGAATATTCTGTTGTTCATGCTGAATAGCTTATGCTTGTGATCAAATGATGGTGAAGCACTTAAGCTTCATTGTAAATATCATAACCAATTCCCTATGAAAAGGTAATTGTGGCCTAGAATCACTCATCCTGTCATCCATCCTCATGTATCAAACTGGTTAAGTGTTTCACCATCATTTGATCACAAGCATGAGCCATTCAGTTATTCAGTTATCAAATAAATCCTAACTGTTATTCAGTTTTTCTGTATTTCTGTTAGAACTTAGAAGATTGTTTAGAAATTGCAAAACAACCCCAAAAACAGCCTAAAAATCAAAACAGACGTAAAGTGGATGTGGAAATATTCAAACATAAAGTGATCCAAATGAAGAATCTCTCTTCATTGTAAAGTTGTTTACAATATTACATCTTTAAAAGAAAACCTAAGTAGGCACTAGGTAACTTCATCTAGATTATGAATTAATCAAACAAGAATTAGAAACATAAAATAAGTAAATAACCCTAACCTCGCAAGTCACAAGTCAGTATCCAGGGAAGTTTCCAAACTTCAAAATTCTAATTCCAATTCGCAATTCCAATGTCAGCCACAAGTCACAACCAGGAAATTGCCAAGAAAGTGGAACAATTAAGCAACCTGGACAAATTGATAAAGGAGAAATCAAAAGCATCAATCTTAAACCTTTGTCCTATACTAACCCGCTTCAAAACAACTACTAAAAAGCTTCTAAACAGCCTTAAAAAGTAAAAAATTTAAGGCTTGAACAAACTGAAAGGAATGGAAAATCTATTCACATTTTGAAGTCTTTAAATGATGTAAATAGTGAACAGGAAATCAAACTTATTTCATGGATTTTAAGATTGATGTTGCAAAACGAAACAACCCCAAAAATCTATTCACATTTTGTAATGTTGTTTAATGACAGAAAACCTAAGTAGGCAATTAGGCATACATATACAGTATTACATTTACATGATTACATTTTTAAAGCTTAAAAGAAAACCCAAGTATGGAGGGCAACATCATTTAGATTATGAATGAATCAAACAAAAAATCAAGAATTAGAAACATAAAAAATAAAATAAGTAAAGTAAATATTAATAACCTTAACAGTTCGACAGTTTGTGAGCAAGAGCGAATCGATACAAAGGAATAATTGTTACTTCTGTGACTGTAAATCTGTAATCTGTAGTTATGTACTTCTGTTAGTGTTTGTCAATCGACAGTGACAGTTCCTGAGCGAGGAGGGTAGGAAGCAAGAGTCGAGCTGTCGAGGACGAAAGAGAGAGCGAGCGAGGCCGATTGAGTATTGTGGTAACCGTAATTTTTTAGGCCCAAAACTGAACCTATATATGTATATTGGGCTACATAAACTTGTTGCCCTTAGAATTTTTGTTGTCCTGAGCAATCGCCCCTTGGGCCTATGGCCAGGGCCGGCCCTGCTTAGGGGCCGTTTACTAGATGCTTACTCGAGTAAGTAAACACCAAATCACATTACCTTACCGGATGAATATGGTAAGGACAAGGATCTTACCCGGTAAGAGCGAAACAAGAACCAAGTCTTATCCGGTAAGTGACGGTAACGACTCTTATCACGGTAAGCGCTTACCGGGTAAATTGTTGCATATGATACCGTTTTGGTGAACTAAAATTTTACCCGGTAAATAAATGATGATGTTAAATTTTACACGTAAACGCTTACCGAATAAGTATTTGGTAAATGACCTCTTACTTTTCTGGTTACGCTATTAATGATAAGAGAGAAGAGAGAAAAGAAATGAAAGAAAAAATTTGTAAAATACCAACAATACTTTTTTTTTAATTTTCTAATTTAACTCTTATCATGAGATTTCATGAATCTCACAAATTACAACTTTCAAGAGTAAATTATGTTTTTAGTCCCTAGGTTTATACTTTATGACGTTTTTCATCCTTATGATTTAACTTTTTTTTTTAATCCTTATGGTTTAAAATTCATTTCTATTTTAGTTCTTCATACTTAAAGATAGCGTTTTAGATTAATGAACGGAAATATAAATGAATTACAAACCATAAGAATGAAAACCGAAATTTTAAAACCACATAGCCGAAATCTGTAATTTCTAACACACGGACGAAAAATGTAATTTACTCTAACAACAACAACAACAGCAATAACAATAATAATAATAATAATAATAATAATAATAATAATAATAATAATAATAATAATAATAATAGACAATGTTATAGTAACTTAATATTAAAACAAACAATAATAATAAGTATAAATATTTTATTGAGTAAATTACATGCTTCATTCCTGGAATTATGTTTTCAATACTCTTGTCCTTTTCTTCAAAAAACCAAAGGATCATACTCTTGATGCATTTTTGCAATGGTGTAAATCCCTATCACTAACTTTGGTTAAAACATTCATTAAAATAAGGGACACTTTTAGTCTTTTACTCTTTAATCACATTTTCCATTAAAAATCAAATATATATATATATATATATATATATATATATATATATATAAACATTCAAACGAGAACACTTTCATTTTACGAGAATCCGAAAACACCCTTTTATTATAGACAATCACATGTGATACCATTATTCCATCGCATATGATACACATGCGATACTACATCAGAGACGCAGATGATTTTTGATGTGATCTTGGTTGCTGGCCAAGTCGCTCTTAGACCACTAAGTCCCCTCACATGTATATCACATGTGATAAGGGTGTTGTTGATATGATACAATAATCCATCAAGATCATCACATGTGATGCTAAATCATAGATATAGACAACATTTGACGCGGACTAAGTGTAGAACACGTCATCCGCACATCACATGGTCCCATCACGCATATTATCATATGTAATAAGTATATTCTTGTATTTTCGTAAAATGAAAGTGTTCTCTTTGAACCTTAACCTATATATATATATATATATATATATATATATATATACACATACTCAAATTAACCATTGCATTTATAGAAACTTTGCAATCCGCTCCTAACCAATCACAATTTTTTTTCCATTTTTTTGTTTGAGGGTAGATTAGTCTTTTTATATATTACCTACTTTTATGACAATTATCAACTTCTTATTTTTTGGAATTTTATTAATATTAACTGTTTAATTGTGGTATTCTTTTTCTATTTTATTAATATGTTCTTATATTTTTTTATTCTTTTAGTTAATAATTTAATTATAATAATCATGTAGTTCTTTATCTTGACAAATTTGTTTGGTGTATTTCTATTGCTATGTGAAAATGAAACTATTTCATTTATTTCTCATTTTGATGGAATTGTTTCATGGTTCTGTTTTATGATGTTTCATAAAATTGATAATCATATTAGAGATGTTTCAGGGTTTTGATAAGCCACCATTGTTTTCGAATTTCATCTACTTACCGTGAATAAAACTCATAATTTATTGACTATTTTACCCTTCCAGCATCTTTTCATTAAATAACCATATTAATTATTTTTATTGACATAGATGGATGTAATTGATCTTGGCCATTAATCAATGAAATCGACGGCTTAAATAGGTTTGCAAAGTATCAACAAATGAGAAACTAACACACATATAACATTATAAGAAAGCAAAAAATAGAATAGAACCCTAATATCGGGGAGTTTGAATGGCCATATTGCATTCCAACTTCTTCAAACCTTATAACATTTCATTCCAATTTCTTCCGGATTCCAATACCGTTAGTGGCAGATTCCATTCCTTCAAAAACAAATCTACGAACCAACAGCCTGCTAAAGGTTTAATCTTCTAGCAGATGCTACTTGCTGAAGCCTAATCTGTTCTCTGAATTTGGCTATAAATTCTTCAGCTTTCCTATCAACCTCACCGGAATGCGGCTCTATGTCATCAAGGTTCACATCGCTTCCCTGTTTCGATCCCTTTTCCGCTTTATCTTCAGTTTGATTCGGGAAGATTTTGACTTTTGCTTCTGCAACTTGTTCTTTTGGTCTGTTTGTTCTAACTGATTTACCCCTTTTGTAAGTATTGGCAATAATGACAGCTTTTGGACTCGAATTCGAAGAATCTGATTTTTCTTCTTTTCCTAATGCATACTCATAGGTCCCCATATTCGTTTCAGAAGACGAACCAATGCTAGATTGTTGCTTATTTGACTCGAAGAATGATGATTTATTGTTTGAATCGAGTGTGTCACCCTCAACCTTAATCTTCCCAAAATCTTTCAGAATTTCCTTAGAACTTCCATGGTTACCATAATCTTTCACAGTTCCTTTATAACTTCCATGGTTTCCACAATCTTTCAAGATCTCTTTATAACTTCCATGGATGCTAAAACCTTTCAAGATATCTTCAGAACTTCCATGGTTACCAGAATCTTTCAAGATTTCTTCAGAACTTCCACGGTTACCAAAATGTTTCAAGATTTTTTTAGAACTCAGATGGGTGTTCTTCTCAGAAGAAGTACCAATGCTAAATTCTCGAGGTTTGGATTCAATGAATGATGTTTCATTGTTCAAATATGGCTGCCTATACACATGATTAGTCTCGATACCTTTTGATTCTTGTTTTTCTGAAGAGTTCTTTATTTGGGTTGGCATTGAAAACCTCATTGATTTCGATCTTAACCCTTCGAAATCAAGATCCCCAACAGAAAGAGGCCTAGAATCTGAACTTTCATTTGCTTCAGTAGTAAACAGATCTCCCCTTTTCTCCAGTCTCATAGATTTCGAACGCCAATTCAATGGAGTCGGAGAACCAGAACCAGAATCAGAATCAGTTTCTTTGAACTTCTCCTCTAACTTGATTGGCACCAAACCCCTAAATTTTCGATTTCTGATTCCATTCCGATTCCCATTCCCATTCCCATTCCCATTCCCACCATTGGAAGAATCTTTAACGACTGAATTACACCCATCTCCATTACTAGATTTCCCAGCAGCAGAATCCAAACTTTTCGATCCAAGGCTTCGCACCGGCAAACACAAGGGCTTATTCTGTTTGATTGTTTTGGGTTTACTCAATTGCTCAAGAACATAGTTTTCATCATTAATAACAACCATGGATTCCCCTAAAAAGTACTGATTTAGCTTCTTCTCATCAGATTTTCCTAACCCATTCCCAAATTCAGATAATCTTGACCCTGAACCCTCAAACAGACCTTTCTCATCAAACCCATAAGAAGTCTGAATCCCATCTTCGAAAATCGATGAAATATGTGAAATCCCAGATAAATATGTTTCTTTTGCATCAGAATGAGCTAATTCATCAGAACTATGAACCCTTTCCATTTTTCTGCTAAATAATCCATAACAAACAGCAATGCCGATGATTAAAAGGTAAAAGAGCTCCCAGAGCATGGTGACGATGGTGGTTTTCTTGAAAATTTCAGGAACTTGTGAAGGGAAAAACGAGAAAACAAGAAGAACAAGTATGATTATGAGAGATTTAGAGAAGAAATAGTGTGTGAAAGGGAACTTACTTTTTGGGGGTTTGGTGGGTATTGGATCTTGAAGATGGGTATTGTTGAATGAGGTTGATGATGAATCCGCCATTGTTGATGATCATTGAAGCTTTTGCATTCTTCCTTCTTTTAGGGAATTCGTAAGAGAAAGATGAGGAGAGGAGATAATGGAAGCAAGAGTCAAAAGGGTCAGTCGAAAAAAGTAGGTGGATAGGAACAACATTTCAAAAGTGTAATGATTATTACCGTTTTTCTTTGAAATGACGGATTTGCCCCTATTTTTGATTTTCTAAATTTGTATATTACAAAAATCGTCCTTTAACTGTGTGCTTAGAGACACTTTCAGCCCCTGTGGAAAAAAATTAGTAAGATTTTTTTAGCTTAAACATTATTTCGCTACCTTATCAACTTAAAATAGCATGTAATAAAATTACATGCTATTTTAATTGTTTAATATATTTTTTAATTTTAAAATTACATTATACATCTTTATAATTATTTAATTAATTAATTTTTCATTTTTCGTTTTACATATTTATCACATTAACATACATAATCGTATATTAACTAAAACACGTTAAAAATATGTTTTAACTTTAACAAGTTACACTATTACAATCGTCTCGTCAACACCATCGAAATGAACCAATATTTAATATTTTTTTTATTCAATGTGATAACCAAGTTGCTTAGTTATATTGTTTGGGGTTGTTTTGACTTTTGAAAGTAGAAGGTAAGTGGAGGGGTTTAATGCGCTTTAAAATGTTCTAATTCCTACCGTCTCATTATTTTAAAACAGTATTATGAGATAATTGTCTATTATCTCAGTGGGATGTGGAAAAAGTAAAAAGAAAGATAAGATATCTTCTCTCTGTGTGTGTGTTCTCTTGGGTGAAAAACAAAGAGACCTGTAAGGGAGAGGAAGAAAAGATGATTCTATGATTTCTATTTGAAATCTTGTTGCTGTGTTACTTCATCCATCTCTGTGAAAATAAGGTGAATTAAATTATAAGCTTTCCTTATTTAATATTTTAAATTTGAATCGTATGGTTCTTATATGGGGATGATGATAAAACTGTATATGGATGTTATTTAAGCATGATGGTGAGACTGGGTATAGAGCCGTATGGTTCTTTATGTGAGTTACTATTATGGAACTGTTTTGATGTCATTATTGGCAAAATGGTGTTTCTTGTCATGATTATATCATGTGTCGAAATAAGGGTGGCGTAACCAGGAGCTGGGTAAACTTGTAATAAGGGTGGCAGAATCAGGAGCTGGGTAAATTTGTAATAAGGGCGGCATAATTAGGCGTTGGGTATATTGAGATAAGGGTGGCATAATCTATTTCTGGAAATGATGATGTTTTTTATCATGGCGTTTTGTTATCTCATCCTTATGATGCGATGATCATGAGTTATCGCATCTGTGTGATGCGAGGACTTGGGTTATCACATCCTATTGATGTGATGAAATGAATTGTTTTATAACTAGAGGAGCTCTGGTTGTCTTGGCCTCGGGATGACCTTATTTTTGGTTGTTTATTTAAACCTTGAAAAAATATTCCAATCCATGATAAAGGAACCAGAGGGGGATCTGGTTGATCTTCATATTTAACCAGAAGGTCTTTGGTTGTAATTGGAATTTAAATTTTTTAAAATATTTAACATTTCTTTACCCAAAGGCTCTGGATAGACGAACCAGAGGCTCTGGCTGATCAGAAGGGCTTTGGTTGGTAAGACCAGAGGGCCTCTAGTTGGCCCTTGCTTTTATTTGGCCTTGTTTTTGGTTGGCCTTGCTCTGATTGGTAGGACTAGAGAAGATTTGGTTGGTCTTGCTCTGTATGATGCAAGTTCTACCCATGGAGTACAACTCTGAAGTATAACTCTAAAGAATGACTCTTCAGATTTGTAACTCTAAAATATTTTTCACCTGAAGTCTGAAGTCTTCTTTTTCAGACTTAGCTCACCCAAAGTTTGAAGTTTTTTTTTTCTTCAGACTTAGCTCACCCAAATTTTGAACTCTTCTTCAGATCTCTGAATATAAGTCTGCAGACTTCTATACTTGGCCCAAATTGCTTTAATAAAATCTTTCATGATATTTAAGACAATTTTGGTCCTAACAGTTAGTATTACAATATGGATTTATAACTTGATTTGGTAATTTTCACTCTGTAATTGCATCAAAGAGATTTCTCACTAGACCTCAAGGTCTAACCCTCATTTTGTGTTTCAAAATTTTGCGTTACAGGACGGGCAAAATCAAAGGATAAAGGAAATGGGAAATTATGATGTCATATATGCTTACATGGGATGTGGATGAAAGTATTATTATCTATGGTCTTTTTGAAATACTTGTTATATATACAAGTTTTGTATATGGATTTTGTGGAAAAATTTGTTTGCTACTTTTATAATGTAGCTTTTGTTTATTTGGGACCGAATATGTAAATTTATATCTCTTGATATATGAAATACTTGGTTATATGTAATTGTGATTCTGGGGTGTTACATTTAGTTATATTATTATGTCATATATACTACGAAAAAATATTTTCAATACTTACACTTTATACCATTATAGTTAATTATTTAATTTATGGTACGCCACTTGTTTTTTCATTTTTTATTTTACACCCTTATCACATTTACATATATAATCATATATTAACTAAAATACGTTTTAATTTGAACAAGTTACACCATTATAATCGTCTCGTCAATACCTCGAAATGAGTTAAATATTGAATTTTTTTGATTTAACTATATTATTATATCATATATGATAAAAAAATATTTTTAATACTTACACTTTATACCCTTGTAGTTAATTATTTTATTTATGGCACGTCCTTGTTTTTTCATTTTACGTTTTACACCCTTATCATATTAACATACATAATTGTATATTAACTAAAATACGTTTTTATTTTACATTATAATCGTCTTGTCAATACCTTCAAAATGAGCTTAATATTGAATATATTTTGATTTAATTATCGGTCCGTAAATATATAAATATAATAAGGGTATAAAACATAAAATGATAAAGGGAAGTAAGTAAAATAAAATAAATATTTATAAGGGTATAAAGTGCAAATATTCAAGATTCTTTTCATATAAAAAATAGAACAAATTGAAGGATATAATCATGCCATCAAAAAACGTTTTTCTTGATCCCTCGGTTCACAGAATCACTCAGACGTCCATCTCTAAAGAATCAAGCTTTGAAGAAAACAATTATTGAAGACACTCGTAGACGTAGTTGTTTTAACACGCCAACATTTATTAACTTTGAAGTTTTAGGGCATCAAGAATCAGCGAGACATAGTCCCTACTTCCAACAACAATCTACCACTCCACATCCATATCGTGATCAAATCCTGAGTTTATTTCATCCATATATCACACAAGTACAAGATGTATTGAGCAATCAAAATTATGGATTCTGAACGATATATACTTGTCTGGATGGTCATGAAGACGAATAGAAATTATGCGCAAAGAGTTAATGCTTGAACTAACTAAGTATCAAGAGTATTACTTTTATGTGATTGGTAACGAGTGTGTAAGAATTTAAGAAGCGTTTAATTTCTTCGAGAAGGGCTTCTTTGCATCTGCTATGCATTGAAGTACTCTACTTGAAATGAACATTCTAACCGTTTCAAGGTTCAAAGTCATACTACACTTTCTCAATATGACAGACAGTATGAAGTACTTACCGCTTAGGAAACAACCGCCGTCATCATCTTAACCAGTGGCGGATCTAGAAACTATTATGGTTGGGGGCACACTTAGGAGGGTCGAAAAAATTTCGAAACCGAATAATTCGTCCGAACCAAAAAAGGTTTCGGGATTCCATTTTCAGGTTTAAACTGTTCGGTTAACCGAATAAAGATAACTAATGCGGTTGAAATAAGCTAGACATTGACTCTACAAATGCATTGATGTAGTGGAGAGTGCTTTCAAAATTGCCTATAAAACTAATATAACATTTGACATTTCCATTTGATTTGTCTACAAAATTGCCTATAAAATTAACCTAACATAAARCATTTACCAAATCACCAATAAGCAAACAACAAAATCAAAGAAGTAATCAAAATTAAAGACTAGAATTTGGAAATTAGAATTTTTACCCAAATTATTTGCTTCAATCCAGTGACTCCAACTCCAAGTCTCCACTTCCAGCCGCGCCCACAGTCGAAACTCGAACTCAAGAACAAGATAAAAATCAATGGTTTAGTAACATTTTTATTTGCCTACAAAATTAACCTAAAATTTGACATTTCCATTTGATTTGCCTAATTGCCTACAAAATTACCTACAAAATTAACCAACAAAATTAACCTAAAGCATTTACCAATTACCACAAA